AGACTTTTGCTGTAACAAACTAAAGCAGACATCCACTCACCATACCTCGGTAGGTAACTAACGTACTGAACTGCAGAAAAGATGTCTCCCTTAACTTCCTGAAATGGCCAAAAACTCCACAACGCATTTATACATTAGACCACACTGTGTTTATATACAATATGACACTACATTCTCTGCAGAACTGCAGTCTTTATTGTAGCCTTTCCAAAGTTTCTCCCAACTTCCCCCAGGCTCACGTCTCCCTGTCTTATAATGTCCAGTGGTCATAGCAAATGTAAAGTTAAAACAATTCCATAGTGCTGAAGAGATAGTAGGAACTGCAGATGCTGGAGAATCTGAGATAACTAGGTGTAGCGCTGGATGAACACAGCAGGCCAAGCAGCATCAGTGGAGCTGGAAAGCTGACGTTTCGGGCCTAGACCCAAGAAGGGTTATCTCCTAGTTATCTCCATAGTGCTGAAGTTGCCCTGGTGACCTGCACCCGTTGAAACTACACAGGCTATGCAAAACTTCTCAGCAGCTAACACATCTTTGATAGCTTTATGGATTCCTTCCCCTGGTTGCATTTTCCCTGGATGCTTCAGAAAGTGAGCCTAAGCTAAATGATGACATGAACTGTAGCTGTGGCTCTCTCTCATTACTGTTTGTGGGATCTTTCTGTGTGCCTTGGCAGTCATATCTGCAATCACTGTGCCACTGCAAATAATAGTGAGTCGATATAAAACCTTAATTGGATCTCAGTTTGACTGTTGCTAAACATTGAAAGAAGGATTTTATTGCCTCAAAGAGGGTACAACACCCATCTACCAGGTACTATCTGGCATGAGGAAATATAAATATCAAAATGGACTTCAAAAGTATTACCTGTTTTCATTGTAGCTATATATCATGGACAATACAACACAAGTCTTTATAATTAGAGAAGAATGGAACAAGGAATAAGATAGAAGCAGAAGTTTCAAGCAGTGATAGGGTGAAGAATGAAATATCAAAGGTACAAGATTAAATGTGAGAGAATTAGGATATTGGGCAGAGAATGCTTTCTTCATACTTTTTCGGATGGCAGGTTTCCCATCCCAGCACCGATCACATTCCTGCGTATACTGGCTGCTTCACAGCCACTTAATCCTCCAAGGAATGTTAATTAGCCAGAAATGGGATGTCTGCACATCACCAACAAGCAAGTCTGACCTCACAGAGCTGCTGCAAATCTGATTGGTCAGCAGCTCAGTGGTCCTGGTAACCCTGTGGCCAGAATTGGGACTGCAATGTTCTATATTCCAGACTCCAGGAGCAGGTACGTATGAATGACCTCATGGTGGAGAGAGGAGTTGAGTTGAGGCTGGGTTGGGATTGGGGAAGAGGGGGTAGCGAAGGTGTGATGAAAAGCTTGGGCTGAGGGAGCACTTGTGAGGGCCGGTGCTTGCAGTGGGGAGATGTGAAATGTGGAAAGGAGTCCAGTGAATAGGTGCTCCCACCCACTTTCAATGCTTCCCTCTGCCCCTGAACTACACCTGCCAGCCTGAAAATTGAGGTGAAGGTCAGGTGGTGGCCCTTAAGTGGGCATTAATTGCCTCAGTTGGGTAAGGGTAGGATGGCAGGCCTGGATTTTACGCATCCCACTGTAAAATTACAGAGAGGTCAGGGTGAGAGTTGGAACACTATCCAGAAATTTTACAGGTCCCTCCTACCTATAATCCCACAATGGGGGAATGCAAAATTCAGCCCTACAAGACTCTGGAATTATCTTTCCAGGCAGTAACTATATTGACCATCAAGACTAGATTGGGTAGATGAAAGACAAATTGAAGTACAGAAGTCTTATTGGAACAGGATGGAAATGCTTTGTGGCATGGAAGATAACATCGAGAAGGACTGAGTTTCATGACATGTTTTGTGTTGCAACTTTTATTGATGGAATTAAAATTGGTTCATCAAACCTGTTTTACTGTTGGGTAGCTCTACATAATGGAAGCACAGGAACCTTTTCTACAGACCTATCTCTGACCCATAAAGTGCAATTGCCTGTTCAAATTGTTTGAGCAATCGATTTACCCTTTTTAAAAAATCTTTCTGGAATATTTTAGGCTGAGGTGCTGCATTAATTAAAGCCAATTGCTTTGGGTATTGTTCTAGACCATCTTGTCACACACCTCCATATTAACACAATATCTTTTATAAAATTATACAAAATTACCAAACTAAGAAAAAAAGCGTTCAAAAAAGGCATTTATTCCCTGATTGATTGCTTTCTTGAGTACTCAGCTCAATATAATTTGTATAATTTTTCCATTGTGTCACTACCAAAGGAAGCCAGAAAACTTAGACCAAGTTTTAGAGTTGATTTTTATGATGGGGACCTTCAAACCTGAAAATGAGCCTGTTTTGCTCGGTATCCTACAAGTGGGGGATGAAGACACTTCCAACCAACTACGGTGCTGAGCTGAATATCAGGGAATTCTGTGGGTTTAATTTATCCAGCTTCATGGACTGCAAAAATAGAAGGAGCTGCATTGGGGCATCTCCCCCAATACCTTCTGACTGCTGAGCAAGTTTCCCAAGGGTGGTCTGTGGGATAGATCAGTTCTGCTCCGCGGAAGTGGGTAGCCAATTATCATTGTTGAGGTCCCAGTTCCCGATTAATTTTTGTGGTCTCACCACCATTTCACAATCCATAGAACGCTCCCCTCCCCTGTTGGTTGTTGTTAATTTAGTGGACACCATTCCTGGCTTAAAGCTAGAGACACAGTAAACAGAGAGGCTTCATACTGCAAGAAGGGGATTACGTTCCTGAGAGGCCATAATTACAGAAGAGACTGATCCAGGGAAAAGAAAATTCACCTTCAAGCCAAACCATAGACCAGTTTAGATGCCAATTATTTGATGCTTGTGTGAAAGCCAATGGGAGTGCCTTCACCATGAGGTGTCCCTGAGCTGCTTCAGTGTGGCTGTCAGTTCTGAGGACTTCAGGGCAACATGGTGGCTCAGTGGTTAGCACTGCTGCCTCACACACCAGGCACTGCAGTTCGATTCCAGCCACAGGCTATGTAGAGTTTGCACATTCTTCCCATGTCTGCGTGGATTTTTCCCGCATGCTCTGGTTTCCTCCCAAAGTTCAAAGATGTGCAGGCTAGGTGGATTGGCCGTACTAAATTGCCCAGAGCACCCAGGGATGTGCAGGTGGGTGGATTAGACTCTTAGGTCCAACTCATCCATTCTGATCACAAATCCTAAATTAATCTAGTCCTATTTGCCAGCATTTGGCCCATATCCCTCTAAACCCTTCCTATTAATGTACCTATCCAGTTGCCTTTTAAATGTTGTAATTGTATTCACCTCCACCATGTCCTCTGGCAGCTCATTCCATACATACACCACCCTCTGCGTGAAAAAGTTGCCCCTCAGGTCTCTTTTAAATCTTTACACTCTCACTTTAAATCTATGCCCCCTAGTTTTGGACTCCCCCAACCCGGGGAAAAGATCTTGGCTATTCACCCTATCCATTGCCCCTCATGATTTTATAAACCACTATTAGGTCACCCCTCGGCCTCTGATGCTCCAGGGAAATGCAGGGTTACAAAGATAGGGTCGGGATGTGAGTCTGTGTAGGATGCTCCTGGGAGAGTCGGTATGGACTTGATGGGCTGAATGGTCTGCTTCTGATCCTATGGTTCTGTGACTGCCATCCCAGCTGCCCTTTATTTGAAAAAGACATTGGTGTCACATGAATTGTGGGGACTCAGGAACATCACTTCAGACTGATGACAGAGTCATGAGTCCCACAGGTTAATTCTGTGTCATTCTCAATAACCTTGGTTTAGTGCAGTGATTCAAAATGGCAGATGATGAGTCCTTGACATGATCACGTCAAAATATACTTGACATAGGTCATTTATTAAAGTGGGTGTGACCTGAAAAGGATTAATAAGGGGGCAACATCACCAAGAAATACAATATCTCTTTGCTTCTTGCTTCATTATCAGCCTGCTGGAGAAAAAGATAATTTGTGTATTTTGTTTGTGGTCTAAAACTTTGTGGATCGACTGTAGCTCACTGTTCTTGCCTCTTACTCGAATCACTGGGGGCTCAATTCCCATTCCACAGAGCTGAGCAAATAATATAGATTAATAACTGAGCTGCATTATTTCAACTTACCCTAGTTGGTGAAGCTTTTTGAAATATTTATGAGAAACATGCTTAAGTATTGCATTAAATATATGCTGTCTGGCATCTCAGTCGGATGTAAACAATCCTACGGAACTATTTGAAGAAGAGAAGGGGAGTTCTCCCAATATCCTAGGCAGGAATAATCAATCATAGAGTCATAGAGCTGTACAGCATGAAAACAGACTCTTAGGTCCAACTCATCCATTCTGATCACAAATCCTAAATTAATCTAGTCCTATTTGCCAGCATTTGGCCCATATCCCTCTAAACCCTTCCTATTAATGTACCTATCCAGTTGCCTTTTAAATGTTGTAATTGTATTCACCTCCACCATGTCCTCTGGCAGCCCATTCCATACATACACCACCCTCTGCGTGAAAAAGTTGCCCCTCAGGTCTCTTTTAAATCTTTGCACTCTCACCTTAAATCTATGCCCCCTAGTTTTGGACTCCCCCACCCCGGGGAAAAGACCTTGGCTATTCACCCTATCCATGCCCCTCATGATTTTATAAACCACTATTAGGTGACCCCTCGGCCTCTGATGCTCCAGGCAAAATAGCCCTAGCCTATTCAGACTTTCCCTATAGCTCAAACCAATACCAGGTCATTTATTCCACTGCTGTTTATGAGAACTTGTTGTTTGCAAATTGGTATTTTCCACGTTACAATAGTGGTAAGCTACAAAAATACTTCAATGGTCATAAAAGTGCTTTTGGGTCTTCTGAAGTTCAAGAACAGTACCATCTCAATGCATAACTTTATTTTTTTAGGTATTTAATTTCACTGCTATATTAAATGTTACAGTGTCTTTCGAATTTTTCCTGTTCTAGGTGCTGCCATCATGTGTGAAACAGGGAACATATCAAATGAGCCCACAAGCCCATTATCATACTATGGCGAGTCATCTGATTCATACTATCGCGTAGACCGCTGGCAAAAACTCCGAACAGCTGTCAGGAAGCTAGAGTTCTGGGAAAACTTCAGTGCTGAACTGGCAGGATGTGGGTTCTTTTCTAACGTCTACAAAGTAAGAGAACCATTACTTAGCATCTTAATGGTGCAATTCTTTGTGACACCACTTATGCCATGAATGAGGTACCTTCTTGATTTTGCTGAAGTGAATGCTTTGAAGGTTTAACTAAAGACTTGATTAAAATTCCTCTCATGTGGACTGTTACAAGTGACATATCATCTATTAGTCAATCACTTATTGTTTAGTTCTGTTCTGAAGGAGAGTTATATTCAATGCCAAGCGTTAACTCTGTTTCTCTCTCCATGCATGCTGCTGGAGCTAATCAGTATTTCCAGCGCTTTCTGATTTTATTTTATTATTAATTGATTGGTTCTGTTTAAAAGTACAAAATGGACCTCTGCAGTCTTGCAGGTGAACAACTTAGCTGCTTGTTTTGAGACCATGTCTGCTCATGTACTAAATTCACAAATCATACTTCGATGACTGAATAACTAAAGACCAAAATAAGATAACAAGGTGTAGAGCTGGATGAACACAGCAGGCCAAGCAGCATCATAGGAGCAGGAAGGCTGACGTTTCCAG